ATTATTTAAACATGTTTATTGAACTAAACTATTTTCTTGAACAATGTCATTGAATTTTAAAAATGAATATTTTAAATCCATATTATTAAGGAGATAATCTTGACATCTATTAAATTTATTTTACTTTTAATAAATTGTCTTAAAATATTTCTAATTAACTGCTTGCGATTGCTGAAGCTTTTTTAATTAGAAAAACTGCTTATGTAAATTCCTTATAATTTTTCTGATTGCATTTGAAAAAACAATTTGAGCTCTGAATTTTTTCAAAATTCTTTGGTATTGAACCAATAAGAAATACATAAGTTGAATACGATATTTCTTAATTAGTTAATTTTAGAGACTCAGTTTATCTCTTATATAATTCTCAAAGAATTCTAAACATATGACAACACTGAATTTCGTTCTTTCCAGAGCTATAATTAGCAACTGCTTTGTGGTATTAGAACTAATTTATTATTATCATTGAAAAAAATTAAGAGCTGAAATTTAATTAATTATCTAATTTAATTATTTATTAAATTTATTACTTAGTGTGTTGATTATTGAAACCCTTTAAAATGCTTTGTTCAATAATCAGAAAGATGTAGTTTATTATTATAGTATCTAAGATATTCGTCTTTTATTTTAACCAAGAGCAAATACTTTATATTTTTTATGTATAATATTTTTTATTCAGACTTTATGGAAGTATTATCCTTTGAAACTAAATTTCTGAAAATGTACCTGAACCACCCACTTATAAGAGAACAAAATAAACATCTTATTCTATTTATTCCTATGTATGCGTTTAACAGATTAAATAAAAAATAAAAAGAAGAATTTCTATTTATTTAAGAAAAAAAATGACATTTAACTGTTTTTCTTTCTAAACCTAGTCTAACAACTAAAAAGATTTATATTTTTATCTGTATTGATATTTGTATTGATACATAGTTTTATTATTTTTAAAAAGAAGAAAGCAGTAATTGGATGATATGATTTTTAATGTGTTTGAACATTATTCTTAAAATGGATTATTCGTGATGCAATTTATCTTGTATTTTGAAGCACCCTAATATAATAGTTTTTGAATACTTTCTGTTCGCAAGAATATGGATAAATTTACTTTGAAAATCCTCCAGGAAGGCACAATTTGTTCAATATTTGGTCCAACATTTCTTGGCTAGTTTTCTAAGTTATAAAACTTCAAGGCTACATATGAAGCAACTTGTACGTTACACACCGTTTGATATACATATTTTCTGGAAAGTGAAGGAATCTTTAAAACATTTTCTGTTTCACATATGATGTTAATTCACTTTTTAAAATTGAGTTGTTTGACTTGTATTCATGATATTTCATGTTTTTATCACAGATGAAATTTTTTGACATTTTCTGAATGAAGCTATCTAATTGCTTCTCGATTTATTGATAATTTATAACAAGAAAAAAGTACTTGATGACAAGAAAAAAGGTAGAAATACAAATTTCTCTAAAACTAAATTGAAAACATGTATTGTTGTCTTTTGAGACATTGAATAATATTGCCTGTTGTTAGATAATAAACAATGTATATAGAATCATACAATTCTCTATAGAAGAAATTTGCAATAGCTACAGATACTTAAAGCATGAAATACTTATACTTCTTTAGCTTTTAAAAAAATTTCGTACGTTTGTTTATAATAAAAAAATAATTTTTTTTTAAAATTTCTAATAAAAGGTTATTTTTAAAAGTTTTTACAATTGCAGTTAATAAATTTTATATGCTGACATTTATAAAGGATTTCTTAACATTATAAATCAATGTATCAGAAACTAAATTAGCAATGTATTTCCCGTCGAAGAATATATTTGCAACATTTGCCATACATGTACACACAGAAGTGCTCATAAAAGGAAAGATATACTCTGTACATTTTTTATTATAACGTAAATGATTCGTATGCGGATAACGAAGGGACTTTTCCACTTATACTAGATTATGAATTAAGGGAAAATCAATAAAATGAACTATTCTTTCTAATGTTTAAGAAATAGTTTAGGAAAACATTATCTTATAAACTTTTGTTTGTTTTATATATTTATGATTTTTTAAAATTTTGCATTTTTTCGAACATTATTAATGTTATGGTCTTCTGAGATTTATGTTACTTTTTTGTTAAAATATTATTTAGAATGAGTTTTAAGACATTTTTTTGGTGTTATATTTGTTTAAATAATTTGGACAAATTTCTACATTTCTTTTTAAATATATGTTTGCTTCATCTGATAAAAAAAGAAAATGTTTAATAAAAAGTTAAAATGCGCTCAATTTTTTAGGGTTAAAATACATTATAAAAATTTCGTCATACTATCAGTTAAATTCGTGCATTAAACAAAAGCATTTAGAATGCTAAAATATGTGTTTAAATGTTTCAAAACTTTTGAATGTAATCAAACATTGTTTAACTCAGTTTAGAATATAGATTTAAAATAATTTCATTCACGTTCTAGAAGTAAGTTGAATGTTTGTGTTATAGACATGTTTCTAGCATTATCATCTTTTACTCGGAATTAGCCAACTAAAAAATTAAGGAATTGTGGAGGGTCCGTTCAGTATGGCAGTTACTTATTCGTTATTCTAAGATAAATAGCGCCAATTGCCTGATTTTATTTTTCGTCTAGCATATTCTTTTTACTGATAAGTCTTTTTCTTTTACTGATAAATCTTTTTGTTTTATAAATGTTTGTTTAAACATATCTGACAGAAAAAAAATCCTCATTATTAAATTTCTATGAATGTTATCAATAATTTTTGATCAAATTAATTTTTCATATAAATTTTTTTATCTCGTTCAACTGTTACAAAAAGTTTATTTACAAACATTTTCTTTCCTTTTTCTTTTTACATTTTTCAAAATAATTACCTTTTTTTTAATTTTTTTTTGCTTAAGAATGTAACTTGCTATTTTAAAGGGAGCTTAATGAAGAACCCTCATTTGAATCCACTTTCGCATAATAAACATTTTTTATTTGTGCATATTTATTTCACATCAAAGTTATTAAAATTTATCATGATTATTATTATGCAGAACAAAAGAGTTCTTATTTGATTGATTACTAACATACGATAAGTAAGCTTTTGGAATTTTTATTTTATTTTGAATTGAATTTTTTGCATGTAGAATTAACGCGCTTTATAAGAAATTTAATCAGTCTCAGGATCATTTAAATTTTTTTTAAATAAATTATGCGGACAATCAGGTTAAAACTTTTTAAACCATAGATTAGCCAGAAACATATATTAATTTTCAGATATTTATTTTGGAATAAGAATACGGATAGAATTTTGTATTAAGCTTGAAGCAGACTGTATATTTAATTTCTTTAAATAGTCTAAGATATTACTGAGAATTTTGAAGAGTCTTCCATTTGCATTACTTGTTACAGTATTTACAATTATATTGTTTTTGATTATTTATAAAATATCTGGGGAAAGATTATGAAATGTATTTTATTTAGAAATTTTCATATATGAAACAAAAATAATGAGCAATTTCCCATTATTTAAAGCAGGATAAAAAGCATTTTTTAAAGTATTAGAACATAACAATTAGATTTATATGTTATTATTATTTGTCCACCTCAGCTTCACAGTGAACTGAGATTTTGGTTATGTCATTAATGCTTACAAACTTCACTTGTTCATATTAGCTGATATGAATAAATACTGGATTATTTGTTTGAAACAGTTTCATGAATTTTAAAATTTTAATTTTTTCCGCATTTTTTTAAAAATATTTTTCAAAGACTTCTCAAAGGCTAACAATTTTCGAAATGTACTTTGGTTTCATTGTGACTTAGTTAGTTGCTAACAATTTAAAAGTTTTAATTTTTCCTCTTTTTTTTATTTCTTTCAAAGACTTTTTAAAAGCAATTAGTTTCTTAAATGTATTATAGTTGCATTATAATTTAATTACTGATTAAAAAATTTAAAATTTTAAGTAAATGAACAAAAAAATGGCAACATGTTTCAAGTATTAGTTTAAAATAATATACTACTTATTAAAACAGCTTATGATGCATGTGAAATATAATTGTCACGTCTAATATTTAGAATTTTTCATAAAATACTAATTTACTTTTCTCTTTTTTAAAATAAATATTATGCAATACCGTACTGTTTTATTGCAAGTAAACGATTTATAAGACAAGCCACAATGTAATGATTAGTTGTAAAATGTTTTTACTTTTTATTACAAACACAAAAAGCTGGAATGTTGGTATTAATTTAAAGAGATGTGAGTACATTTAATCTTAAAAATATCTGTTTTCAAATTTAATATCTGCTACTAATTTTTCGTCACAAGCTCTTTTGTTACTTATCTGGGTTGAATTGGTGGCTATTTAGGATTTGTCAAAAACGATCCTCATATAAATGCAATATTTATACATAAATAAAACTCTTTTTTGCGAAAATATTGCTCATTCAAACAAATCATTATATTTCTTTGGAAAACGTATGAACCATCTAGAATTCTAAGAAGACATATTCATGTTTTAGTTTCAACCAATTAAGTTTTGTTTTTCACAGTAAATTATTGATATTTACAACAATATTCAGCATTTCTAAAATTCACTTATTTTCTAAAAAAAGACTGAAAGTCATGTTACGTTGCGTTCTTAACAAAGCACTAATATCACAAAACATTCAAAGGTTTGACTGTAATGGTATTATGATATGAAGCTGATTTACATCGCAAATGATCGTAGATACAACTATTGATTTAGGACATAACGTTGTTATGTAAGATCAATGTATTTTTCAATGACTTGTTTAATTAACGTAATTGGTTTAGGAAATTCTAAAATGTTCAGCAAAGCTTTTTCAAACTAGAATTGCACTATAAGTTTAAATATTTGCAAGTCATAAATCAAATTTTGAAAACAAAATCACGAAGTGACAATTTTGAAATAAATCAGGTAAATCTGTGATGTTTTCAATTAAAAAATCCAGAAAATTTTAAATTTTAAATCATCATAAAAAAACTATTGTATTTTTAAAATGCACTTTAGCAAAGCTATTAAATAAATGCATTGAATTGAAATATTATCTGTTAGTGGGGAACTGTTAAAGTTTTAAAAAAAGCTACACACCAACCACAAAATACAGGAGTATTTTTTGTTGAAATGGAGCACAATACACACGATTCATTATGATCATTAAATGCTATAAACGAAGTTTCAGTAATAAAGATTATTTTAAACAACTGAAAAAATTAAAATTTTAATTTTAAAGAATTTTATTTTAAATGTTTTGAAAAATTTTAAGCAAGTTTCATTTATTTAAAATTATTCATTTATATATGAGCACTCATACAATTAATTAGTATGTTATTTATACATTGAGAAACTGAAAACATTTTTTTTAGAAATAAGAGAATTCTCAGGTGTTTCTAACAAGATTTAGTGTAAGTAGAATATGGCCAACTACCTATTAAGGTAGGGAATCTCGTCTTCTGATATTACACGCTTGATTCCTTGATAACAGTAAAGTATAACTGACCAGATTCTATTTACATAGAGTCTATTTTAACTAACTACTACCACGTAAAAAGGAAGAGGATAAGCAGTTGTTCGTGAAAGATTGAACATAATCTTTCTTTTAACATGATATGTAAATATAATAACATACTATAAATAATTATCACACATTCACACTCAATACATATCAGTAAGAAAGTCTTTAGTGTTTCTGGTAAGTATGATAACTTGAATAATAATTCGGGCATGAACATACTTTCTTTAAACTTCCACCCTCACACCTAACAGTCTGGCAGCTTCTGGTGATGAAAATTCTTAAGTGCACTTTTCAAAAAAAGAAGGAGCATACTTAAGTAGTTTTTAAAAACTCCTCAGCTTACCAATCGTTGTATAAAATCTCTATCTGAAATAACTATTCTCTCAAACCTGTCTAGCGTCACTATACCTATGAAATGAACTAGCTCTATACCCTTTGAAATTCTTATAATGCCTTGTGCGAAGAGCTCTTGTAATAGTAGTTTTAACTTTTCAAAAATATATCTTTTTTTATCACCACTAATTATGCTGTTGTATATGAATAGTGCTGATGGATATATATAGGTAATAGATAGCTGTCTTCATGGCTAGTGGTATGTGAAGTAATAAATGTATACTTAGAGAAACTTATGGGTACTTTTAGAGATAGTGTATACTTCGAGGACTATCATGCATTACCACTGCCATCAACTTATTTGCTCTAGCACTTCTTTCACCTACCCGAGTTTCCATGCCTATATGGACCCTGACTGTACCTCTGGGCTTTTCTTGGAAGGTACTCTTGGTGAACTCTGGATGAGACTTACAGCAGAAGTACCTTGTCAAGTAAATAAATGCTTGCCCAAAAGAGCTGTTTGTGAATGCATACACTAACCCGCAAAAACAGCTGTAAGCTTGAGCTATCCCAAGTAACGTTTCTACCGTGTTTGCTGGATTTGAAAAATAATAGTATTTAGCATGCGAAACAGTTGATGGGCTTAAAGTGGACAATGTAGCATAGCGCGAGGTTTCTGAAACTGATGTTGAAACGGATATAGTAAATGGCATCCAAAAACACAGGAATAATAAATAAGCTAAGGCATTGCTTTTAAACAGTTGTCTATGCAAATTTTCTTCTCGACTTTCAAGACATTGGCGAGACTCCAATTCTTTCAATTGCCTCTTGTAGCGATGAACTGTCAAAGCAAAAGTAATGATAGTCAAAGAAATTGGTGCCAGAAAAATTAAAAATGTTAGGTTATATCCATATTGACGATTACAAATATCGTAATTATTGTCGTAAAATACAATGACCAAAATCCACATGGCAGAAGCAATCCATGAGAAAAATACTGCGGAAACAACAAATGTCACTCTGCAACAGCACGAGTATGTGTCGTTGTTCGAACTACGGTTACGTTTACGGTAAGCACGTAGTAAATTTTCTAACGCCATAAAAAAGTAATTGATAGTTGATGTAAAAAATGATAAAAGAGCACTGTACCATTGCCAATAACAGACAAACGGGTAGTGATGTGTGTTTGATAAGATGGCAATGCAAGAAGCGGGGAAACCCAAAGTTGTTATTAAAAGATTCGCTAGGGCTTGATTTGCTAGGAAAACGTTTCCATGGTGCCGTAACGTATCTTGTATAATTAAAGAACTTATTTGAAAAATGTTTACTGTAGTGCCGAGTACTGAAAGAACAGTGTAAAGGACTAAAGCCACAACATCATTGTTACTTTCATTTGAAGATGAGGGATACGATTGATATGAATTGTTGTAAGGAATACCTAGGACATGTCTACTACTATATATAACTGGAAATGAAGATGACGGAAGATGGGAAAACCAATCGTTGTTTTGGTCAGTGGAAGACTGTCCCTGGACGGCCTGAAAAATAAAATAAAGAATACATATTCACATAAAAATTAAGCTTTTGAAGCATCATTCTAGATGATGAGGAAATCAATAAAGTATATTATAATTTTCTCACTCATTTAACGTTTAAATTTATATAATTATAATCATTGTTTTAATTATCGTTCAAAAAGCAATCTTGATTATCAGATTAAAACATTCGACTTCCTTTCTCATTTCTGAAATTACATAGTAAAAGTAGTTTTTGCGATAAATTTAGTAAAATAAAAAAAAAGTTCATCCACTCTCGAAAAAATCAGTTCCTCCTTGAACAGTAATGTCGGTACTTTGAACCATATTATTATGTACATAATCTCAATATTACAAATTTAATATGTTTTAATTTGCTACACGATAATTTGGTTTAATTTGACGCTATATTACGGTGCCGAAGTTTTTCGGTATTTTGGTTTAAAACGGTTCAAGATTTCTAAAACATATGTTTTTTTGTATACCATTATTATAAATTTTACTCAATTTGTGTGATGGCATGCGTTTTTAAACTTTTTAAAAGATATTTTCATCAAATTAGATGAAGGTCGTTGCTTCTGAGAAAAAGTAAGCAATTTTTTTTTGCCTTAATGTTAATACTTGATATTTTATTCAACAAGTTCTCTGCAATGTCATATATAACGTAACTCAAGAACCTCTTTTTTTATTGATCGACTTCAAATATTTAATATGATAAAAATGAAAATTGAAATGCAGTATATCCAATTCATGAATTCATAGTTTTTCGCCGCCTGTGAAACATACTAAAATGCATTAGCATGATGTGATATGTCTTTTACGTGAAAGGAAAGTCATTTTATTTTAAAAAACAAATATTCAATTAACATGTAATTGTGATTTAGATTGTTTCCTTATTGAAACTCGTTTTAAGATAAGTTTTACAGTAACTCGCTTTAATTTTACTGTGATTATTAATTTCGGTGGATTTTAGATTCTACTTAAATAATTGCTTACGGTTTTCTCTTAAGTCTTTAACTAATTCCTTTTTTTTTAAAAAAAAGTAATTTTTGATAGTTGTTATTATTCATTAAACAGAAAATAGAGTAATCAATGAAAAAATAGCTATTCAATTTAGTATATTTAAACATTTAAATCTCAGCTCCACAAATGGATCTGACAAGCTTGACTTATCTTGAAACTTATATATTTTTTTAAAAATAAGTAAGGAAAATTGTTTTATTCAACACATTTTTACAGCTGCTATTTTAAACACAACATAAATAAATGTAGTACAGTGAGTGAAATAAAAACATACCATCTTTAATAAGTTTTGATCTAATGATCGGATCTTAACCTTCTATGACTCAATCCTAATGGTTTGAGGGAGTGATTTCAAAATTGTTAACTAATTCGTGTCTGATGCTATTTTAAGTTACAAAATAAAACACAAAAATGCACTTTCTTTGAATGAACATGACTTTTTTTCGGAGGATTCGGATTTTTGGCTCCCAAAATATTGAGGGTAACCGCAATCTGGGAAATATTGGACCAATAATTTGATCAGAAAAATTTGGATCTTCCAATGTTAATTTTGCTTTTTGAGTATTTCGCCATATCTCGAGAACCTTTTAAGCGACGTGAAAAGTCTTGGTACGCAATTATAAAATTCGCTAATCTAAATATATTTTAAGCATAAAATAGCATTTAGTAAATATTTATTGTTTTTTATTATTGTATCTAATAGCAATCTAAGAAAATTTGAAATTAAATGGTAATTTTTTTTGCATCATTTTAAAGAATGTAATTTTACATGGCAAAATACAAGGTTTAAATGAAATAGGCGGAATAATTCCGGAGAAATCAAATTTTAAAAATAGGACTTTAAACCATAATATCGTTCACATTTGCAGAAACCTTAATACGGTGCCAGTTTAAAACATATTTTCAGAGCATTCGATCATTCTTATATTTGAAACAAATGATGCAAATTTGCATGATATAGCAAATTCGTATGGTTTTATGGCTCAAGGTGCCAATATTATGGTTCACTCTTGAGCTTATTTTTCTGAAAATGCTGTAAAAAGTAAGTATTTATGAGAGAAAAGCATCTCAAGGATTGCATTTTTTTTTGTGTTGAAACTAAAAGCTTTAGTTTCATTTCGCAATAGAGCTAACACTTTCGTTATTTTTATCGATGTCTGAAAATTTTAATTACTTAAAAAAAGATTTAATGACTAAGTTCTTCCAAAACCACAGCAGTTCATGCGAAAAAATAAGTGCGAAATGTTATTTAAAGAATTCGAAAGCTTATCTCAGACTTCTAATTGGAAGACTTTTTTAGCATCGATTCCATTTGAAGTTTTTTCTTTCTTATTTCTATGAAATTCCAATGAACAAATCAGATAATGAATCGCATTTTTCTAGCTTAAATTCTAAGTTGTTGGAGATTTCATCGATCTTGCACTTATTAGGATGTTCTTTACACAGCTAAGATATGGGAAGAATAAAAACAACACAATTTTTGCAAAAGGCATAAAAAGTTTTATGTTTGTGTGATAAATTTATGTTAATAAGGAAAAAAAAATGTTTTTACTTCAGGTGGAATTAAATTTACAGGATCAATACTTGACATAAAATTCCTCGCAATTTTTTTTAAAAATTATTTTTCAGAAGATTTTTTTTATTTTAGATATTAAAAAGCTGGTAAACATATTAAGCACCCATGCATAAGTTTATTAAACGTGATAATTGACGTGAATGTCTTCTTTTAGTTTTTTCTAAGGAAAATAAAAGTTTGATAATTCTAAATTTAGTGCAACATCGGTTTATTTTTTAATTATTAAGGTTTTCCATTTAAAGATTTTCTTGTTTCATATTTCTATGAAATTTTAGGGGAAAATTCCATTAACGTATTGCATTTTTCTAGATTAAACTCTAAGTTGTTGGCGATTTCATCAATCTTGCCCTATTTAAAATATTTCTAACTCTGCTAAAGGTATGAAAAGAATAAAAACCACACAAGTCTAATAAAAGGTATAAAAATTTTATGTTTGTGTGATAAATTTATTTCCATAAGGAAATATTGTTTTTATTTTAAGTGGAATTACTTTTATAGGTTCAGTACTTGACGCAAAATCTATCGCAATTTTTGTATATCTGAATATTTTTTTCAGAATGCATATGTTTTTTTAAATTTTGAATTAATGAGGATCTGATAAATTAATTAAGCAAGCATACATACGTTTGCTGAGCGTGATAATTGTATAGCAAATTCACAAACTATTTTACTCTTTATTTCTGATTTTGTTTATAAAACATTTTGATGGTTCCAAATTTATTTTATGCTCTATTTTAACTTTATTTTTAAATTATAATGGTCATTTAAAAATTTTATCTATGAAATTCTTATGAAAATTCCAGTAATGAATTGCATTTGTCTTGCTTAAACTCTAAGTTGTTGGAGATTTAATCGTTGATGTACTTATTTGGATATCTTTTACGAGTACCATATTAAAATATGGGAAAAATTAAATAAGACACATTTACTAAAATAGAAAATTTATAGATGTGTGACAAATTCATGCATGTAGTGAAAAGAAAGTTGCTTTTCTTTTTAATGGAATGAAATTTAAAAGATAAATGTTTAACGTAAATTTGTCAAAACTTGTTTTCTGAATTTTTTTTTAATTATTTTTTTGTTGTTGTAAATTTAGATGTTGAAGTATCAGATAAATGTATTTTACACGTATCCTTATGTTTACTGTGCCCATTAACTGTACAATCAATTCGCACATTCGCTTCTTTATTTCAAATTTTGCTTATCAGAAGAGTTTCATGTTTATATTTAATAAGAAGTTAGATAGATCTGAATTTATTTTATCTTCAGTACTGTTTGAGTTATAAAATCTGATATGAAGATCATTTTACCCAGATAATACCAATATTCCCTTTTTCTTAAAGAGTTCCCTTAATTTGTAACATAAATTACAGATTATAATTGCGCTAATAAAACATGCTTTATTTTTCTCTTGGATTGAAATAATATCAAATAGAATTTAAAAAGATAATTATTCAAGTTTCTGTCATCCTTAATATGATACAAAAATAATTAGAAGTAAACATTTTCTAGTTAAATGATAATTTGAATGAGGTACCTGAATATCTTATTTCAGACAATTTTGAATTGATCTTCAAATTTCGGAATTTTTAAAATAAAAGAACACTTTTTACATAATTTCAAAATCACTTGAATTTTTTTCTGTCTCCAATTGAGCCAATGGTTTTAATAGTTAAAAAAACTTCATTTATCACTAGGTTGACATTGCGTGACTTTTTTATTTCATTTTATAACGCAAAATAAAGTTTATCGTTCTTTTCTGCATCTTTAAAAGCAATATTTTAAATCCNCTTTTTTAAAGCAGTCATAAGTGTCTTCCATGGCAATCAACGAGTTAAACCATAGCATTTACAAGATAATAATTTGGGAGATTCGCTCAGAAAATTCTTTGTAGTCTTATCACACAATGAAGATAGCCAGATTACGTCAACTAGATTACAACTATCTTCCCAGATTGCAACATCACACAGGATTTTAAAAACTAAGATATGGAAGCAAAATGGTGAATGAAAACAGACATCTGCTTTCTCAAAGCAGTCATAAGTGTCTTCCATGGCAATCAACGAGTTAAACCATAGCATTTACAAGATAATAATTTGGGAGATTCGCTCAGAAAATTCTTTGTAGTCTTATCACACAATGAAGATAGCCAGATTACGTCAACTAGATTACAACTATCTTCCCAGATTGCAACATCACACAGGATTTTAAAAACTAAGATATGGAAGCAAAATGGTGAATGAAAACAGACATCTGCTTTCTCAAAGCAGTCATAAGTGTCTTCCATGGCAATCAACGAGTTAAACCATAGCATTTACAAGATAATAATTTGGGAGATTCGCTCAGAAAATTCTTTGTAGTCTTATCACACAATGAAGATAGCCAGATTACGTCAACTAGATTACAACTA